TATCCCACATAACATATGCTGGCATCTCTTAGGGAGTTGTTATAATGGTACATGGCAAGACAAACATCCCCTTGTTTTAAAAAGTATTTTTATTTTTTTTGTTAGAATGAAGAATGTGAATGTCCAATTTTATGCATATTAAATTTTTTTAAATTAAGAAGAAAAGAAAAACAATATTTAAAGATAAATTCTACTTAGTTTTATTATATTAAACGTATATTCTTGTATTTATATTAAATATAAATATATATATATATATTCCTCTAAGATGATTAGAAATTACATGAAGCTATGTGATTCTCTGTATGCTTATAAAAAATGGAAATACATTGTCAAATTAGGTGATCAATTACAGAGTAGACAATATTTTCTTATAAGCATATTATGCTGTGAAATGAGAATAATAGCATAATAAATGAATATTAGGCAGCAAATATTATGCACTAGATAGAACTAACTTCTTTCATTATATTTTTTAAATCATAAATCATAAAATCTCAAAAAATAAATAATTTCCATTTTGAGATGAGAAAACAGAGAGGTTACGTAATCTAAGGTTTGAAACAATGGCACCAAGATTCTACTAAAGGATCGTTGTCTCGGAGCTTCAATACTACACACTGCTTTCAGAAGAGTAGGAAGACAGTGAGGTTGAAAGGTCTTTAGTTTCATATAAATTGAGTATACGAAAATGATCCTGAGCTTCTAAATATGATACTAAATATAAATCACAAATTCAGATTCAAAAGTCAGACTGAGTCTTTCTCTGAGACACTTTTTGTTCGTATTCCTAAAAACATAATCATTTCTACTTTGAGATGACAAAAAAGATCTTACAATAATTCCTTCCAGATGATCAACCCATGTATACCAAAGCAATCACCTTCTGAAATTAAATAATTAAGATACTGTTTGTAACAGATTTCCTGAGGAGGAGAGGAGAAGGTCTGTATCTATCATCAATGCCAGAGAAAGCTCCTTCCTCCTCTAATGAACAATTTAGTATTTCGAAACATGTGTTCAGATTAAGTCTTAGTTCATACAATGTTAGTCAAGAGATCATGGAAAGTTAGCCAAGCTCAAGAGATTTTTTTAAAGGACTATATTTAAATATAAGAATGTTATAATTTTTAATTTTTATTTATTTTTTTAATGTTTATTCATTTTTGAGAGACAGAGAATGAGTGGGGGAGGGGCAGAGAGAGACAGAGGGAGACACAGAATCTGAAGCAGGCTCCAGGCTTTGAGCTGTCAGCACAGAGCCTGGCACAGGGCTTGAACCCATGAACCATGAGATCATGAGCTGAGCCAAAGTCCACTTAACTGACTGAGCCACCCAGATGCCCCAAGAATGTTATAATTTTTTAACTGAAAAAAGTTTACTTGGGCATAAACTTAATCATTTATTTTATTTTTACCATTTTATTTTGAAAATGAATACTTGTTAAATCAAATCAAGTACAAGATCTCTCAGCATGAAATTATGTGGTTTAAAACCACTGGTCAGATCATGCCCATGTTCCTTTTTATTTTTGTCTTTCAAGAAAGTCCATCATACAAAAATTTATATTAAAAACACAAGTGGCTCTAGGGACTAATAATAAAAACCAAACACAAGGATCCTGGCTATATGGTATCCGTAATCTACAAAGCTTCAACTTATATTACAACTCTATCCTAATGAGATGCTTGCCATGTAGAGCAAAAGAAACAGTTGTGTTCATTTCACAGGTGAATATGCCAAAACAAACAAAAAATTAGCATTTTATCATATCTAGATTTATAGTTAAGGATGAAATCTAAACTACTCCTAGAACACTAATAAAGTTTTATATAAATACATATTTGGTTTTTTTTTTCATGTTTATTTACTTACTTTGAGAGAGAGATAGAGAGCATGCTGTGTGTGAGTGGGTGAAGGACAGAGAGACAGGGAGAAAGAGAATCCCAAGTAGGCTCCACAGGGTCAGTGCAGAGCTCTACAAGGGACTCGATCTCACAAATCGTGATATCATGACCTGAGCTGAAATCAAGAGTCAGATGCTTAACCAACTGAGCTACACAGGCTCCCTGTGTACACACTTTTAGAGTCCTGCTTGAGAAAATGCCCTTAAGAGAGAAAGCTCAATGTATGAGAATAGGTGTCAAACAGATCTTGGATTTGAGCTGAGTCTTGGAAGTAACTATATGAATTTCACATTATTTACTGTCTCTGAGTCTGTTACCCATTAATGAACACTGGATAGTAATACCTACCTTAAAATATTATCAAAAGAATTAACTGAAATATGTGTGAAAATACTCAGTGAAGATCAGTATTTCAATGTTTATTATCTTCCTTAATTACAGAATCATTATTTTTATCTGGTAAATAATGTAGTAAACTACATGAAACTTTCAGAGATTACTGATGGCAGTCCTGTGAATAACTGGCTTTAAAAGCTAAGACATGAGAGTTCATAATTCTATTTAGAAGTTAGGCCAAGAATTTGAGGTAGCCAGCAATGTGGATTAGTGGTATTAAGATACCACAACAGATTTTAACAGCAGTCTATCATCCTTTTAAAACCTTTTCCCTCGCAGGCCCCTGGGTGGCTCAGTGGGTTAAGCGTCTGACTGCAGCTCAGGTCATGATCTCACAGTTCAAGGGTTCAAGGCCCACATTGGGCTATGTGCTGGCAGTGCAGAGCCTGCTTGGGATTCTCTTTCCTTCTCTCTCTCTCTCTCTCTGCCCCTCCCCCACTTGCACTCTCTCAGAGTGAATAAACTTAAAATAAATAAATAAATAAAATCTCTTCTCCCAAATAAAGCACTGAACTTTGGCAAGGCATAGTAAAAATAAACTCAGAGAGCCTACAAAACATTTTCTTTTCTTTTTTTTTTAATATGAGATTTATTTTCAAATTGGTTTGCATACAACACCCAACGCTCATTCCAACAGTGCCCTCCTCAATGCCCATCACCCACTTTCCCCTCCCTCCTACTCCCCCATCAACCCTCAGTTTATTCTCAGTTTTTAACAGTCTCTTATGGTTTGGCTTCCTCCCTCTCTAACTTTAACATTTTCATTTTCATACACAAGGAATAATAAAAAAAGAGCTATTATTATAATCAGAACTTTGGTATTATAATACCAGAACTTTGCCTGGTAATTCACGGAAAAGGAAAATAGAGCTGAGTACTTCTGCCCCAAAGGCTATTTAAATGGAGTTGGTATTTTGCCTAAAAATGTGAACCTGAATTGGAACAACATCCATGGTTGAGCTAGGGTCAAAGAGCATATTTAGAGTGACACCTAATATTAAAAGAACACATTCTAGCTATTTCTCAGAGAAACTATGACTCTCTTCGTGGTTTAGATCTGGGAAGTTCTCATTCCATGGTCTCCACTCCCTGCTTATCCTACCCTCCCCCCCACCCCCGACCATGCCACATGGCCACACAGTTTTAAATGTTTTTGAGTGACATGCAGAATTGTGAACCTTCTAAATCTTAAAACTCGTTACTTAAGAGCCTCCCTGGTTAAGATTCAAAATTTACATGAAAGTTTACATTCTATTTTTTAATGTTTATTTACTTATTTTGAGAGAGAGAGCACAAGTTGGGGAGGTGCAGAGAGAGAAAGAGAGAGAGAATTGAGGATGATTAATTGGCTTTCACTCTAGTGTCTACATAGAAGGTAGAAGCATTTACTGAGGGAGAAATGAGATTAAGTGCAGGTGAGGACTTAGTTCCATTTTCAAATGGGTTCTCCATATATTTATGCAGAAATGGATTTCCATCTAGTATACTTTTCCTGAGTAAAAAAGTTTTTTAATATTTCTAATGCAGGTTGCTGGAGTCAAAGACCTTCAGCCTTTGTTTTGGTTTGTTTATAATGTGTATTTATTTTTGAGACAGAGAGACA